TATATATATATATATATAGCACTGTAGCTACGTGATAAATCAAAATTGTCAGTAGGTGTGAATGTGAATGGTTGGTCTGTGTTGGCTTTATTCTGACCCTTGCTCAAAATCAGCTGAGATAGGCTCCAGCTCCACGGCTCCATGACGCTAATGAGGAAAAATGTTATCGCAAAAGGATGAATGACAGAAATGATCAAATCTGAAAATGATAAATGTGTCTTAAACCAATATTCTGTCTGTCATTTTGTTTAGAAAAAGGGTGAGGTTTGACAGAGCTGCAGAGTTTCTGGCTGCGTGTGCCAGCGGGGACACAGAAGAGGCCCAAGTGATGCTGCAAGAGGCCAAGGAAATGATGAGCAGCAACAAGGAGGATGGGGAAATTATTAATTGCTCCAATGCTGATGGGATAACTGCGTTACATCAGGTGAAGCTGCTTTTACAACCCGAGTTGTTCCCTTACTGTTTGATGAGAACAAAACTTACTTTGTCAATCTAATCCTGCCAGGCCTGCATCGATGGCAGCATGGAGATGGTGTCTTTTCTTTTGGAGCATGGTGCCAACGTAAACCAGGTTGACAGTGAGGGCTGGACACCCTTGCATGTTGCTGCCTCCTGCGGCTACCGTGATATAGCTGAGTATGTCGCTCTTGTCGGCGCTCTTCAACACTGTTCAAAGGCTGTGATTTTCTCACAACTGTACTCTACATCAGGATAGTTGTCACAGTGCCTGCCTTTTTCCCCCACCACCTACTGGCATTTTAGAGCCTTATTGCAAAGCTGAATACATGGGTGTCATCAAGGAAATACCAACAGAACTGAAGGAATGCCACTCGAGCGAAGCCACCTCAGCAGTCCATAGTCCGCTGCCTTCAGCTGTGCGTGCGTGAGCGCGAGCATGTACGCATGTGGTTCAACCAATCAGCAACAACGCAACCATGTCACAGATCAAAGAAGCTTTGAACAAACGACAACAGCTAAGCTGAGCTGTTGAGTGGCGTTGCTACAGAACGATTAGATGTCAGTAAAACGTATTTAATAAAGCAGTAATAAACACAGGTCATTTAACCAACAGCAAGTTACAACATTGACTCATTAACATTGAACTCTCTCGCCGCTGCTCTATTTCCGTGTTCAACTGCGTAACCCGATCACCTTAAGTTTGAACTCTGCGTTTTAAGCATGTCTCTCGAAAGGAGCCATTTTGGGGTCGACATATTACCGTAATAACCATATACAAGGCGCATCGGATTTTAAGGCGCGCTGTGAGCTTTTAAGAAAATGGAAGGCTTTTAGGTGCGCCTTTTAGTGTGGAAAATACGGTACTTCTCTGTTTGACACACCTTTGGCAGGAATTACAGCCTCAAGTGTTTTTGAGTTTAATACCACAAGCTTTGCACACCTATATTCGGGCCCAGTCCTCTGAGCAACACCTCTCAATCACCATCTGGTTTGATGAGGCATGTTGGTGCACAGTGATTTTCAAATCTCTCCAGAGATGCTTGATCGGGATTTCAAATCTCGGCTCTGGCTGGCCTACCCAAATCCAGAGTTGTCTGGAAGCCGCAGTTTTTGACACCTCGGCTCTGTGCTCATGGTCGTCGTCCTGCTGAAAGATGAACAGTCACCCCAGTCTGAGGTCAAGAGCACTTTTTTTTGCAGTTTCCTCTCAACCCTTTGGAGTCTCCAGGTCGTGCCACTGAAAAAAAAACATCCCCACAACATGATAGCTGATCTCCAGTGTCTGGTCTCCTCCAAACATGATGCCTGGGATCCATGCCAAATAATTCAATCTCTGTCTCATTAGACCAGAGATTTTTTTTCTTGGTTTGAGAGTCCTTTAGTTGCCTTTGGGCAAACTCAGGCGGGCTGGCATGCCCCCTATACAAAGAAGTGGCTTCTCTCTGGCAGCTCTTCCATTTTGGCCTGACTTGTGGATTGCTGCAGGGTCGGTTCTCCTCCTAGAAGGGTCTATTCTTTCCACGGAGGAATGCTGGGCCACTGACAGAGTCATTTTTGGGTTCTTTGTCACCACCCTGACTCTGGTTCTTCTCCACTGATCGCTCAGTTTCGACTGCAGGCCAGCTGTAGGAAGAGTTCTGATGCTTCTGAACTCTTCCCATTTGTGAATGATTGCGACCACTGTGCTCTTCCGGATCCTTACCCATAAACCGTTCCTCTAAACCGAACGTGTCAAACTAAAGACCCTCGGCCCGCCGCGACATTTTATGTACCCTACAAAGGCAAATCAGGTGTCGACTTCATGCTTCTTGCTCACATACCAAATTTGTAACTTGTCTTCACTTTCAATAATGTTGAGATTGCAAGCATCTTTCTCACCAATCCCCCTTTTAAAATGCATTGGGAAAAAAGTTAAACAAATTTTAACTGCCTTCTGATTTCAAAACTCGTCATTCATCAAATTATGTATATGAGATAATATGAGGCAACCATACAGTACATGTATATGGCTTCACATTCATAATGGCCCTCTGAGGGGAAACCATCACTACAGTATGGCCCGAGTTTGACACCTACCCCCCCTGCTCGAAACAATCCTGTCTAAAAGGCAGTTACTTGGACTTCATGCTTGAGTTGTGCTCTGACATGCACAGTAAACTGGGGGACTGGGGGGGGGGGGAGCTCCAATTGAGTTGTAGACACAGCTCAAGGATCATCTCAACTCAGTATTTAGCTTCATGGCCAATACTGCATTCTGACGTACATTGTGATTCCATAATCTTTTATTTTCAATCGTTTTGCAAAAATCTAAACAAGAAAAAGAAGCATTGTCATTATTGGAGTTTCGTGTATACAATTGATTGAGAAACAATTACAGTAATTTGTTTCCCTTGAACAACGTAAGGGAAAAAGCGAAGCTCTGTAAATACTTTTGTGATGTGCTTTATAACGGCATATCTCGATGCCAGAGTGTTCTGTGGGTGCCAGGCTATTTCTGCATTCAACAATGCTATCATTGTTGCAGTGTTTGGCAGGACAGCATCTCAGCGAAACAATGAACACGCTGGGCTGGCCACACAGTGTAGAATTTGAAATCGTGTAGGTGAAAACTGAAAACACATGGTCGAATTTTATAGCTCAACAACAAAAATTGATGTCAGCTTTCATGTTTTCTATTACCTGTAATGGCTGGTTTATTAATTTTTAAATGGTTTCTCTCTCTGTGGTTGATTTGGCAGGTTCCTTTTGCGACGTGGTGCTGCTCTCTCTGCTGTCAACTGTGATGGTGACGTCCCCATTGACATCGCTCTGGATGAAACCACTGAGGCCCTTCTCCAGGAATACACTCTGAGACAAGGTCAACATTCTTTGGCGACAAAACAACACGCTAGATCGGTTTACAGTACCGGTACATGGTTAAAGTGACACAATTTTGGATACGGGTCATCAAAGCGTAAAGAGCAAATGGAATCTGATCATGTCAGATTAGAATGAGACCTTTTACAAATGTGGACACCAATCAGTGACTTCATTTGATGAGCAACTTTCTAATTCTGAGGAGAAATCATTTTGCAGGTTAATCCCGAGGCCCTGAAGCAAAGGCTTTATTCAACAACAAAAATGCGACAGTATAACAAATGATCAATTGTTTTCCATTCACATTGTGAACACCAGCATTAACACAGTTTTAGCCGGGCTACTGTGAAAAGTGTATTCAATCACCCAAGCACTTAACTTCCGGTGTTTGATGACGGCTTAGGTTATTTTAGCAATTATCACGGCTCCTCCGTCTTCTGTTCATTATGACTCGCCGTCCCTTTGTCAGAACGATACTTGCAAGACATGTAGGTTATTCGCCGCCATGGAGGCAATGATTACTGACTGAGGTGCAACTCTGCAACTTTTTTAGCCGCACTAGTAGCCAGCCGAAGCCCGCTGCTAGCTAGCTGCTTCGGCGTAAGTAGCATCTCCGTGTTGCAGCATGTTAAAATACTGTATATGCATCCAGCCCAGCGAAGCTTTTTGGGATGGTCTTCGCGGTTCAGTTATCGGAAAAAACGTAAAAATATGATTCTCAGTTTTGCAATTTAAATACCGGTAAATATCCCAATGTGATAAAGAGTCAGTCTATGGCAAATAAATGGTAAAATGTGTATGAATATTATAATTGTACATGGTGACCATCAAGTGTGTAAAGAAAAAAAACTTGCATCATTCTTAAAACAATTAAATTCTATTGTAATCTTGATAAATACTATTTTCAACACGATATCCATAATTTTCAATGGATAATTTGATGCGCTTTGCTAAATTCAGGTAAGCTTTATGGAATAGGTGTGCATTGCTGTCGATTTCAGCACACTGTCTGATGTGGTTAAAAACTGTCATCTTTTTCAAGTACACTTTCTGTTTTAACGTACTCCTGAAGGCAGGAAGGGGAGAAAGGTCCGGTGAACGTGAAATCTCCTGCGTACCGAGACTTTGTGCACACCATGTATATTATATTTATTGGAATTATCAGTCTTTTTGTTGGATTGTTTTATGTTGGATCTATGTTCTTATAGCTGCAGCTGTTGTTAACGTGCTCAAAATTCAGTTGAGTTGAGTCTTGTTTATTATTGTTTACACTGTTTATTATTTAGATCAGTGTTTGCTGCCTGTTACTGTCAGTCATGAAGGGTATAATGCGCATTTTAAGTGCACATGCACGTAGGTTTTTTCAGGCGTTCACTTGATGTAATTTTGAATGAAAGTAATTGTAAATAGAGCGACAAAAGAAATTGGATACAGGCAGGAAATCACATTTAATTTAATTAATCGAGCCTTCGCGTTGTCTCGGTATAAGTCACAATTGAATATAAACGGATTTCAAAGCATTTGTATTCTGCTTGTGTTTAAGGTGTGGACTTGGAGGCAGTAAAGCGGGTCGAGGAGGAGCAAATCACAAGAGATGCTTGTGCCTGGCTGACTGAGGGACCACCTGCTGACATACGACATCCCAGGACTGGAGCCACTCCGCTACATGTGGCCGCAGCCAAAGGCTACGTGGAAGCTCTCAAGTAAGCGTCTTTTTGCAATTTTTCAGAGAGGACACTTTGAGTTCATTTTGTGTCTGCCTCGAGAAGAGTGACCCTCCCTCGGTACGTTCATCATGAGAAAAACCCTGCTGATCCTATCTTGTCACTTCATGCTGTCCAGGCTACTGTGTCAATGTGGGCTCGATGTGTCAGCGATGGACTTTGATGGGTGGACTCCTCTTCACGCTGCTGCACACTGGGGTCAGGGGGAGGCCTGTCACATTTTAGTTGAACAGATGTGCAATATGGAAGCCCGCAGCAGCTCAGTGAGGCTTCCCTTTTTCACTTTTCATTCACAATGAATTGTCTTATATTTTGGACTATTTATACTTCATCATTGCAACGTATATTCTGCAGGGTCAAACACCTTTGGATGTAGCAGATGAAAGTGTGGAGGAGCTCCTGGAGGATTTAGCTCGGAAACAGGCCAATGTGAGACATTTTTCTTGAATTAATCCAGTCAGAAGCCCAAATCACTAACATCTGGGTGTTTTCACAGTGGCGCAATGAGCAGTCCATACGAGAACGGCAAAACCAACAAGGTGCCACAACTGTAAATGCGCAAAATAAAAAGCGGAGGTTAGTATTCACCCAAATGCTTTTTAAGCCTTGCAAACATTTGGCTCTTTTAAATTCAGAGATGAAAGTCCTTCGGATTTTCCCGGAATTCCGGGTTTTTCACATTTTTATGAAAATCTCTCCGGAGAATTGAAGAAAATTTGCCTAAAATTAATCCGGATATTAGTTGACAACATTGAACGAAGACGCGTTTGAGTTCGTTGTTTTGCTTTCACGAGTGTAGCCATGTTGAGACACGAACACTAGTAACAGTAGAGATTTTCGTCTCTTTATCAACACATTTGCTAAACCCCAGTGGAACGAATAAAAGACACCGTGGACAAGACAGTTGTCGTAAAAAATATATTCGGACAAAAAGCGAAACACACAGATTGGCAGAAAAACGTGTCCGTCCGACTTCGAGTGTCGTCTCGGCTAGCTTAGCTTAGCTGTTGTTGTGTGTGACGTCGGGTGTGTGACGTCGTTGCGTCGGCGCTTATTGGTTGAAATCAAAAGACGCGCTTGCGTACATGTCCGCGCTGACGCACGCAGAGAAGAGAGCAGCGGACGAGCTCGAGTGGCGTTGCCACAACAGTAATACCTTCGCCTCGCATTCTCATGGCCTCCCC